TTGCATTCTCCATTACGATGTCTCATGGTCCGTAACAGGTAGAGTGTCTCACCCAAGGTCACAAAGCTGGTAGATTGCAAGTTTTCTGACCTCAAGTCACATGGCCTTTAGGTATCACCCACAGTTGCCTTACGTCTGTGTTTCCAGGGCCAAAGAAGCAAGAAGATTGCCAAATTGTTCTTAGAATCATGATAGAAATAAGATACGTAAAAGCACTCTCAGGTTCCTCTTGCCTTTGACCTAGAGTTGCCCCAGCGACTATTTAAATGAGTGTTTCCACTTACCTTGTCCAGAGAATTTTACAGGGACAGAAACCTGATGTGCGGCTACCCACGGATGGGCCTCCATTCATGTTGTTCATTAGACTCTTCCCATGCAGCCTCCTGAGGCCTAAGTCCCCAACCAATCCCCACTAAAGTCCAAACACCACCCACAGCGAGAGTTAAGCTGATAGCCGTACTTCCATTGGCCCATCTTCCACCCACAGCTTCCTTTGGAAGAAATATAACCCTCTTTGTCCAGTTTGTCAAGCTCCCTCTTCAACAGAATCACAGAAGCATCAAAATGGGTTGGCTACAGAATCTCCTCAAATTCCTGAAGCCTGGCAGCCCTCAAGTTGCACAGATGGAGTGGACAGAAGGCAAGTCCAAAGGTGTTGCAGTTGATTTCAACAGCATCCTCACCCCTTCAACCCTCTTCTGCTCAAACCTGAGATGGTTGGCCAATTGAGGGCAGTGGGGTTCTCTGAAGAAGTAACATGTGTTGAAAAACCATTGCCCGATATAAGCTCTGCCCCAGACACCTTGCTAGGCTGAGCATCCTTTACCTCTTTTACATGGCACAATTCTGAGAGGTGTGTATCATCCCCATCTTACAGATGAGAGAATGGAAACGGGGTGGTTAAGATGACTGTGTTAAAAAGGTAACACAGCCGGTGAGGGGCACAGCCAGAAATCCAACTTAAATCCACCTGGTCCAAAAGTCATGGAGATTCCCTGTCTGGGACATTTCTTCCTCCACCTCTTGTATCTCCAGATTTTCTGACTGTCCTTCATACAAGTGTGGTTCCCTTCTTCATGCAGTTGTATATCCTATCTCTCAAATGTCCTCCTCTCCATGCTCAGATAAATACATCCTTCTTCATGAAGCTCAGCTAAAACTCAGCTCTACCATTAAGGTCTTAGTACTGCTTAGTCTCTGATACCAGCATCCCCAGGTTCACTCAGTACCTAAGTGCATGGGCTACTCCCACGTGTGTGGCACAGAGGTAGGGGTGCAAGCTTCCCAAATGTGGCATTTCAGAACTTCACATTGAAGAGGAGTAGATATGGTTTGAAAACAGTATAGCTAATATAATAATTGCTTGGCCTTCTTTTTGGTTATAATAATGTATTTTTAAAACTTTAAACAACATTCAAAGAAAAGCATGATATTGTTATATTTCTCAAAAGGGGACATGGATTTTCAAAAAGAAAAGATTATTGAAAAAACTAGTCCACACTGTTATAGGAATTTTAAAATTTTCCGATGCCCTTTTACTATTTTCTTCTTGTGCCTGTCATATCTCCCCTAACTGTACTGCAAAAGTCTTGCAGGATGGAGACTGACTATGAATTCTTTCTTCTTTGTGTTTTTCCTGAGGGTCTTCACCCAGTAGATACTCCATAAACAGGTCACCCAATCTGTTCTCAAGCATGATTTGTTTCTGGTTCCTGAGGGACATTTTTTGCTATTCAGTCAAATCTGCTCAGCCTAACTAAATAAAGGATCTGGGTTGGTTTTCAAGCAAAAAATAGGTGATTTGAAGGAGAGGAGAGGAGATTAAAAGACCAGAAACCAGCACGATACAATGTCATTAATTGGAATCTACCATCTCAGGAGGGCTGTGCTAGAGTTTAGCCCTTGAACTCCACTAAATAATTTTCTTTGTTAATTCACATCAGTGACAAAATTGCTCTGCAACATGTAATATTCATAAGGAAACAAACTAGTGCTGAATCCTCATAAAGCACATAAAAAAGAAAGAAGTATGCTTAGGCGCCTACTATGTGCCAGCTTCTTTTTTTTTTTTTTTTTTTTTTTTTTTGGCGGGGAGGGGCGGTCAGGGAGGTAGGACAGAGTCTCACTCTGTTATTCAGGCTGGAATGCAGTGGTGCAATCTCAACTCACTGCAACCTTTGCCTCCTAGGTTCAGGTGATTCTCGTGCCTCAGCCTCCCGAGTAGCTGGGATTACAGGAGCCTGCCACCATGCCCAGCTAATTTTTTTTTTTTTTTTTTTGTATTTTTAGTACAGACAGGGTTTCACGATGTTGGGCAGGCTGGTCTCGAACTCCTGACCTCAACTGATTCGCCTGCCTTGGTCTCCCAAAGTGCTGGTGTTACAGGCATAAGCCAAGGCCCCTCGCCTGTACCAGGTCCTAATCACACATTATTTCTAAGTCAGCCCAATTCAAACCACCAATGGGTTGTTGTTATCTCCAGTATCCATCAAAGCAAGATCTACTTTTGAGCAGTCCCTTGATAGTCTAATTCTAGTTGTCTAGACTTTAAAATCGAGGGAAACGCTTTCAGCTGAAACTGTCTACCCCTTTTAATAGAGGTTTTGCAGAAAGACTGTAGTATGCAACAAAGTGCTTTCTTCCTTAGATGATAAACTTTGGGAGTTGGGGTGGGGCAGGTTTAAAGGAAAAATCAGATCTTTGGGGAAAGAAAGTTGAGCGATTTAGGTTGTCACAATGGGACCTCTTAACTCCCACTCTGTGGAAGACTGGCAAATACTTGAGTCATCCACTCCAAGTGTCTCTTCTCCAGCTTTTTCCAGATTCCAATCACATTCACCACAAAGAAAAGCGAGTTTGCATTTTAAAGCTTAGATTGAGTTCCTCGTCCAAGGGGAAATTAACCGAAGGTGTCACTTCAGTACCCATCTCCCATCAAAGAGAAACTGCTTCTGAAAGAGAAAGCATCATGGAGGTTTATTTAAAATCACAGAAAGGTGGGGCTGGAAGAGAAACCTATCAATAGTTATGTCACTAATGCGAAAAGTGAGGAAACTGACTTGTCCAAGTTATATCAGGGTGGACCCCAGGCAAGACTCAGGTGCCTCTGCTGTCAGCTCACCTTTCAAGTTTCTAGTCCCCACTCGCACCCACTGAGACCAGAGAGACCAATTTACCTGAGGCAGAAGGTGCTGCACGCATTCTTGTCAAATTTGAAGGGACTGAGGAGGTATCTCAGTAAGTTTGTTTGCACTGGGGGCCTGGAGAGCTTCGGGAAAATAGCCAGAACCAAAACGGACCCGTCAGCAGACGCAGACACACACAAAGTGACACGGACACAGAAACAGAAGCTGAGCTGGGCAGAGCGGGCAGCGGCCGACCCACCTCGCACGGCCGCCCCCCGCCAGCGCCAGGTGCAGGGCTCGCAACGGCCCAGCAGAGGGCGCGCCGCCCCCAGGGAGCCGAGCGGCGGCCGTGCGGAGCCGGGAGGACTAGGGGAGCCGCAGGCGAGCCAGACGCGCCCCTGAGGCTAGGCCACTCAGGGTGCAGGACCCGGCCAAGGAAGAGGAAGATGGTGAGGAGCGGACCCCCCTCGTGGGCCCGAAGGACAGACAGGCAGGAGTGCTTCCTAAGAATTACATCACGCTGCGCAACGTTGCGGTTCTCGGACTCCCTGGTGCAAAGAGGGGTGGGGTAGGGGCTGTGTGTGTGTGTGTGTGTGTGTGTGTGTGTGTGTGCGCGCGCTGGGGGGAGGGGACTTAGATCAAGAGCCCGGGAGAGAAGAAGGCGAGACGCGCCCAGGGAAAACGCTCCATGCACATGGAGAAATTTCTGGCTCCAATCTGCATGCACCGAGAAACGAGCCCCCAGCACTTCCCCGTTGCTCCCCTCCCAGTGCAAAGCACCCAGCTAGTGAGAAACCCTCCAGCCCCCACCTCGAGCACCGCCCCCCCAACACCGGCTCTGCACCCTCCAGCCCGGCTCCAGCGCCGCCGCGAGCTTTCCCCAGGACTGGCCCTGGCGGGGCGCCTAGAGCCCCAGTTGCATTGCTCCAGGAGAAAGGAGGGGGGCGGTGCATTTTGCAGGAGGAGGAGAAGGGGGGTGGGTGGTGGGGGAGAGAGAAAATTGCGCGGAGACCTGCCAAGCGCCACCGCCGCCACCACCGCCGCTGCCGCCGCCGCCGCCGCCGCCGCCGCCTGTGAGCTCCGGCGGGCAGCCGGACTGTCGGCTTCCCGGGGCATCTGGGTCCGGCGGGGCACAGCCCTGGGCGCTGCCGAAGCCGCCGCCGCCGCCTCCGCGGCGAGTACAGGCGGCTTCCCCCGGAGCCTCTGCAGCTCCAGCTCCTCGGGGGTGGAGAAGTGGGGGGTGGGGTTGTTGTTTGGGGGGAAGAAGGGGGAGGGGGCAACGCCGAGAGAGTCAGTGGTTTCCATGGTGATGGAGCTGAAAGTGCAGGAAATTTAAAGGCTTGGACCCTGCGAGACAGACAAACCGGTGCCAACGTGCGCGGACGCCGCCGCCGCCGCCGCCGCTGGAGTCCGCCGGGCAGAGCCGGCCGCGGAGCCCGGAGCAGGCGGAGGGAAGTGCCCCTAGGACCAGCTCAGCCAGCGGCGCTTGCACAGAGCGGCAGGACGAAGAGCAGAGAGAGGAGGAGGGGAGAGCGGCTCGTCCACGCGCCCTGCGCCGCCGCCGGCCCGGGAAGGCAGCGAGGAGCCGGCGCCTCCCGCGCCCCGCGGTCGCCCTGGAGTAATTTCGGATGCCCCGCCGCGGCCGCCTTCCCTAGTAGACCCGGGAGAGGAGTTGCGGCCAACTTGTGTGCCTTTCTTCCGCTCCGGTGGGAGCCGGCGCTGCGCGAAGGGCTCTCCCGGCGGCTCATGCTGCCGGCCCTGCGCCTGCCCAGCCTCTGGTGAGCCGCCTCCGGAGAGACGGGGGAGCGCGGCGGCGCCGCGGGCTCGGCGTGCTCTCCTCCGGGGACGCGGGACGAAGCAGCAGCCCCGGGCGCGCGCCGGAGGCATGGAGCGCTGCCCCAGCCTAGGGGTCACCCTCTACGCCCTGGTGGTGGTCCTGGGGCTGCGGGCGACACCGGCCGGCGGCCAGCACTATCTCCACATCCGCCCGGCGCCCAGCGACAACCTGCCCCTGGTGGACCTCATCGAACACCCAGACCCTATCTTTGACCCCAAGGAGAAGGATCTGAACGAGACGCTGCTGCGCTCGCTGCTCGGGGGCCACTACGACCCGGGCTTCATGGCCACCTCGCCCCCCGAGGACCGGCCCGGCGGGGGCGGGGGTGCGGCTGGGGGCGCGGAGGACCTGGCGGAGCTGGACCAGCTGCTGCGGCAGCGGCCGTCGGGGGCCATGCCGAGTGAGATCAAAGGGCTAGAGTTCTCCGAGGGCTTGGCCCAGGGCAAGAAGCAGCGCCTGAGCAAGAAGCTGCGGAGGAAGTTACAGATGTGGCTGTGGTCGCAGACGTTCTGCCCCGTGCTGTACGCGTGGAACGACCTGGGCAGCCGCTTTTGGCCGCGCTACGTGAAGGTGGGCAGCTGCTTCAGTAAGCGCTCGTGCTCCGTGCCCGAGGGCATGGTGTGCAAGCCGTCCAAGTCCGTGCACCTCACGGTGCTGCGGTGGCGCTGTCAGCGGCGCGGGGGCCAGCGCTGCGGCTGGATTCCCATCCAGTACCCCATCATTTCCGAGTGCAAGTGCTCGTGCTAGAACTCGGGGGCCCCCTGCCCGCACCCGGACACTTGATCGATCCCCACCGACGCCCCCTGCACCGCCTTCAACCAGTTCCACCACCCTCTAGCGAGGGTTTTCAATGAACTTTTTTTTTTTTTTTTTTTTTTTTTTTTTTGGAGCTACAGAGACCTAGCTTTCTGGTTCATGTAATGCACTGTTTAACTGTGTAGGAATGTATATGTGTGTGTATATACGGTCCCAGTTTTAATTTACTTATTAAAAGGTCAGTATTATACGTTAAAAGTTACCGGCTTCTACTGTATTTTTAAAAAAAAAAGTAAGCAAAAGGAAAAAAAAAGAACAGAGAAAAGAGAGACTTATTCTGGTTGTTGCTAATAATGTTAACCTGCTATTTATATTCCAGTGCCCTTCGCATGGCGAAGCAGGGGGGAAAAGTTATTTTTTTCTTAAAGTACAAAGAGACGGGGGAACTTTTGTAGAGGACTTTTTAAAAGCTATTTTCCATTCTTCGGAAAGTGTTTTGGTTTTCCTTGGACCTCGAAGAAGCTATAGAGTTCAATGTTATTTTACAGTTATTGTAAATATAGAGAACAAATGGAATGACTAATCATTGTAAATTAAGAGTATCTGCTATTTATTCTTTATAATATCCCGTGTAGTAAATGAGAAAGAAGTGCAGAGCAGGATTAAAGAAAACCACTAAAACCGACTGGGCTCCACACTGATTTTCTGTGTTGGTGATTGATGGGGGGTGGGAGGGCGTGGGAGGGGGCGGGTAGGGGATGCTGCTGTGCCTCCTACCCGGTTGGGGAAGGGGCTCATCCCCTCGGACTCACCTCCTGTGGTATGATAGAGATGACTTAGTGTTTTGAGGGCGGGGGGTGGCGATATTCTCTAACCCCTCACTAAAACATCACGTGGCCTCCGCCTAGTCTCCTAGCTTTTCCCCCTGTGTCACCAAAGCTCGGGCCTGTAGTGACCTCGACACCCAGCCGGCCCCCTGGAGCTGACCCCAGGCTGGGGCGAGGGGCGGGGGGAGGGTGGGCGGCCGCTTTGTCCTGCCTGACAGGCCCTTCACAATGGGGACACGTGTCTTTCACACCTACCCTGGGGGCGGAGTGCCGCTGAAACTTGACCCCCGAGGAATGGGGAGGGGGGGAGATCAGAGCGCGCCCACCCAGATCCCGCCACCCCTCCCGCCTCGTACCCCCCACCTCAATAACCAGCCCATGTTAACCCTTTGCATGCCCGGAAGCTGCGGTGGTGGGAGCTGAGGCAATCCCTTGGAATCAACAAGGCTCACAGCCTCCGGGATCTTGCAGGTCCGAGCCCCGAAATCCCAGGCCCTCGGCGGGAGGTGCTGGGGATATCAGGGAGATTTGACACTAGCCTCCCCTCTCCCCGGGGACCTAAGGAAGACTGAGGGCCAGGGTTTCGGAGGGGTCCGAAATCTGGGTGAAAATCACCTCTGGCATCTGCTTTTGGGAAGAGGGTATGCCCGTGCTCTGGGCACTTTCTCCCCTTGAGGGGTGGGGAGGAGGGAGAAATCGGAATCGGAATCTTTGCGCTTTAAGATTAGATAGGGGCAGAAGGCACGTAACCCCTTAAAGGGACGTGCAAAACATCACTCCCACCCCACCCCTTAAAAAGCCAACTCCTTGGGACAGACGCCTGACTCTCGCATGCGTCCCTCCGCCTCAGTCCCCAGTGGCGCCCGTCCGCACAGCTCCACGTGGGCCAGCTTCCTGACACTGCTCAGCGCTCTCTTTATTTATCTTGGACTCCAAAGTCGCTCTCCTTTGCTCCCTCCCCACCTCCCTGCCACCTCTCCGCGCCTCCCTCCCGGCGTTCCTCCCACCCCACCCCCTCACCCCCCTAACCCCCAAGTCCGGAGTCCCGGCGAATCTATGCTAATTATTTCAAACCTGCGCCTAGTCCCCAGCGCAGTCTCAATGCCCCCGGCCCCGCCCGCCCTGTCCCTCCAGCCGGGCGCTTTCTTCCCTCCCGACGCAGCCTCGATGGCTCCTCATTTCAATAGCCTGGCCCCGGAGCCGAGCCCCCTCCCCGGCGCTGCCTCCGTCAGCCGTGGGACAGACGTTAGGGTATTCATTAACTGAGAGCCGAGGAATAACGGCATTATTCCCCCCAGAGAGGGCACCCTGCCCCCGCGACTATCTGAGGCTTCATTGTAAAAGGATTAAAAGTTAAAGACCTCCATCTTATGATTCTTTCATTTAATCTTCCTGGCGCCTGGGAGACATGCTCGATGGATGATGGCTTTTAAAATATTCCTAATGTCGGCTACCTTAAGACTCCAAGCTGGGCAAACAAACGTAATTTATTTCCAGAAGAAAGGGGATATTGAGATGTTTAAGTTTATGAACTGCCGTCCCCATGTATATTTGTTAAGTTCTGACAAATACCCAAATAACGTTAAAATCAGCCATTCATCACTTATGAATTTATGCAAAACTTTCTGTGCCCCGGGCCAATATTTTTTTAGACAGAGTTTCACTTGCGAGGGGCGGAGGTGGTGGGGAGTGGGGAAGAGGAGGGGTCTTATACGAGGGGGGCGAAAGCAAGAATTTTCATGCCTGGTAAACACGCGAATTATGCGAAGAGAGTTATTCCCAGCTGGGCGGGCAGCCAAAACTCGGAGAGCGCGCCGAGGCCAGCGCCCCCACCCCCACGTTGGCAATGTCATTGGATTACAATGCGAGGTCTTCCCCTCCGCGACGCCCCCTCCTCCCTCCGCGGGCCCGCCCGCGCCCCTCCTCCCCACCCCTGCCCACTTGGAAAACCCGCCCGCAGCCGGCGAGCTTCTCGGCTTTCAGAGCGGGAGCCGGTGTGAGCTGGGAGGACGCGGGCTGCAGACGTGACCGGCGACAGACAGACCACCGGATGCACAGAACCAGAGAGCAGGCCCGAAGCCGCTGCGGGCGCGGGAGAGGACCCAGCGGGACCCAGACAGTCCCAGAAGCGAACGAAGGAAGTGCTGGTCCTGGAACCTTGTGCCTAATGCACAGTCGGTTACTTCTCCATTATTATTGATGCCGATAATACTAATAATAGCATCAACGCGGAAAGGAGATGGCTCTGGGTAAAGAGGCAAGAAAACTGTCCTCTTCGGCCATCCAGTGCCTATCTCCTGTAAGGAGGACAATTGATCTAGGTGACTTCTGCGGTTCTGACACCTGTGTCTATGAATTTATGTAGCTGCTGGGGGTCCGCGCCTCCCCAGGGTGGAGATTTATAACTATTACAGATACATACATGTCAACTTTTTCAGATCCTGGAAGAGAACGGCAGGGTTTCCACCAACCCTTTCCTCCCACTATGATTTTGAGAATTCACTCATCAATCACCTATTTGCAAGCCTCCCGTTTATTCCTTCCTTCCACTTTCAATGTCCCCCGCCTCCACACACACACACTCTCTGTCTCTCTGCACACAAGAGCAAACTGAGGCCCAATGACCACACTGAGAGGGAAAGCCAGCCCTCTCAACGGAGGGTCCTCTGACCCCCAGAGTCTGGGAAGGGGATTTAGTTCTCTGCAGAGATGGAGAAGGCCAGGGGTCCATTATCAGTCTTGCTTCTGAGACTCCCTGGGAAAGGGGGTTGAAGTTTGGTGGCAGCTGCAAGAAGAAGCTGGCTGCCTATTAAGAGCTCTTAGCTGTGCTCGATGGGGACTACAGAGGGAGGGCCCAGCCCATATTGGTATTTTGAAGGGGGTGATTCATCCTTTTTCTTTAATGCTCTTGGAATGTCAGAGCTGGAGGGGAGCTTTGATTCCAATGCCCACTGCTCAATTTACCGATGAGAAGACTAAGACCTCAGCAGCCACTTGCTGAAGATCACACAGATTAAAAGAGTTGAGATTGGCTAGGTGGTGCCTGTCTAGTGAGCCTTATCTTGGTTCTCTTTTTCTTTGTTTTCTTTTTTCTTTGCTTTTTTTTTTTTTTAATTGATGGGAGTGAGTTCTCAGTAACAACTAATCATCAGCAAGTGGATCAATCCTTCTGTTGTACCTGTTTAGCAGGTGTTTATTAATGGTTTGTGATGTGCCAAGCAGTGTGTTAGGCCTTTACACTCATTTCGATCTAAGGCCTCTAGTGTACAAATAAGGAAACTGAAGCTCAGAGAGTTTAAGCATCTCCTCCAATGCCTCACAGTGAGTGACACGGTTACAGTTCAAAACCCAAACTGACACCACCAAAGCCTATGCTTCTTCCAAATATTCTTCCTTCCTTTAAGGACTTGAACACCGATCTTGGGAGACAAAATGCATGCCACGCTGTGAGCTGGTGAGTCTCAAGTCAAGCTCTGTAGCGGTTCATGACTGGTAAGCCACACAAAAAGATATTTGCACACCCTGTTATGTGCCAGCACCTCCCACTTCCTCCCCCCACACCTCCACAAGGAAGTTACAATGCAATAGAGGAGATAAGAAATGAAGAACTGGTGGCTGGGTGCAGTGGCATACACCTGCAACCTCAGCAATTTGGGAGTCCAAGGCAGGAGGATTGCTTGAGGCCAGAGTTCAAAATCAGCCTGGGCAACTTCATGTCTACAAAAAGTTTAAAAACTAGCCAGGCATGGTGACACATGTCTGTAGTCCTAGCTACTCAGGAGACTGAAGCAGGAGGATCTCTTGAGTCCAGGAATTCAAGGCTGTGGTGAGCTGTGACCCGACTGTACTCCAGTCTGGGCAACAGAGCGAAGCTCTGTCTCTTAACCAAAAAAAAAAAAAAAATTAATAAAAGAACCGGGTAAGAGATAAAAGAGGAGGTAAAGCATCAAATAAACCTGGGCTGGAAAAAGGACGGCCCACAGCCAGAGAAGACATTTGACTGAAGCCTCAAAGAACAGACTGGATGTCAACCCACTGAAGTGAGGGTGGAGAAGGCGGTATATATTAATATAATCGAAGACATGGTGCTGGAAAAGTATGTGTGTGTTTGGGAAATAGCTCAAACAAACTTTAACATAGGATGGATCTATGCTGAGAAGAGCAAGCAATAAGATTTGAAAAGCAGGTTGAAGCCAGATTATGGAGGATATTGAATGCTAACTAAGGGAACAGTGACAGGAAGCCATTGAGAGCTCTTA